CTCCTATTGTTGTTGTTTAACCCTTTCCGCTTTCGTACACTGTTCCCTGCCCCCCAGGCCGAAGATAAGTTTCCCAAGCACCCCTCTGTCGTTACTAACTATACCAATTTTGTTTGTTCCGTGCCCTTATCAAACGGCGTAGAAAATTGACTGCGCTAGACCCCGGCAGTAATCTGTTACGCTAATGGTGATCAGGGTGAATAATTATCGCCCGGGGTCAATGAAACTAAAGAATGTGAAAGGCAAGATTAAGCAACAAGCGCAAAAGCCTCTACTAATGAATAGAGAGGGTAATGGAGATTCGCGCCTGCTTGGCATTAAATCGCGCATTCTCTCTGCAGTCCTGAAAGATTTAGAGATGGGAAGGGGGGGGAGGGGGCGGTAGAGGAGGAGGCGAGATTCGATTCCTGATGGAATTCTTCAAACATCAGGGGATTTTGCTAAATAAAAATAAACACAGCCAGACTCAGATCCTCAAGTCTCTTTTTTTTTAATGAAAACACTTCATAAATTCCCCTTTGTGCTTGTGTGGAACTGCTGAACCTGCAAAACAGAAACCAACAACGCGGTGGACGTGACACGGCGGCCATTTTTGATGTTCCTTTTGTTTTTAGAGGATTTGGTGACAGCAGGACCTTTGAGACTGGATGGGTGCAATGGTCATGCACGAGCGTCCTTAGTCAGTATTGCACTTTATTTAAAAAAAAAAAAAAGGGGACCATGGACCGGACCAGCCCATCACTTTCCTCTGTCGCCTTCCATCTTGGAGAAGGTCCAGCTGAGGCCTAGTGTGTTAGTTGTGAAAGAAAGGCACGCATTTGCCAGATAAGGCCTCCGGATTTACCTCAGACTGTGGTGACTCTCATGACAAACTCTCTGTTGGCGTTAGATCGGCTTCTCTGTTCGTGTGGTCTAAGATGGCTGAGGATGTGAAATAGGGTGTACGCACAGTGATGGTCCGACAGGGTACCCGCATGGCCGTTACTATGGTTACCGCTGTCAACGGGGGTGGAGTTATTGGCTGTACCAGCCGCGGTGGCTGAGTTATTGGTTTGGGAAGAATTGCGCTCGCTAGGCCGGTGGGACGTCCCCAGTTTCTGGTCCTCCAAGTCTTTTGATTTGTCGTAATTGAGGATCTTCCACTGTTGGTTGACGGCCTGCCATCGTTTAAATATCCTATAAACAGAAGGTCCTTCGTGAATGATCAATCCTGCAAACAAAGAGGATGATTAATACACCAAACAATTGCAAATGTTACAGCTGAATATAATCAGATTGATTAATAATGACAAAGAGAAATGACCGCAAGCTCAACTCTGATTTAACTTTACTGGAGTCACGTTAGTGAAAATGGTAGATACGGAAGTAACAAGGTAGGAAGAAAGGAACGGAGGAAAGAAGGAGGGAGGGAAAAACAAAGGAAGGAACAGGCCGGGGCTGCCACTAGGCAAACTAGGCAGCCGCCTAGGGCGCACTGCTGTCTAGGGTGCAGCCTTGACCACTTATCCCCCCCAGGGTACTGCCCCCCGTCTATTTCAAATTGCAAAAGCCAATAGCAGGCTGGCTATTGCACCCACCCACTGAGCAGAGGAGCGGAACTGAGAGATAGTTTTCTTTCTCGGGTACGCTCCTCTGCTCAGTGGGTGGGGTTTCAATAGCCAGTCTGCTATTGGCTATTTCAAATTAAAATAAGCACTAGCAGTCTGGCTAATGCTCCCGGCTGCTTACATGCATCTGCAGAAGCTACCTGGCAGGAGAATGGAGCCGCCCTGGGGGGGGGATTGGGGGTTGTGCCGTGGGAGGGCAGTGCAAGTAGCTGGTCTTGCATAGGGTGCTAAATAGTCTAGCACCGGCCCTGGGAAGGAATGAAGAAGGAAAGGTTTGAGTGAGGAAGGAGGAAAGGAAAGATGAGGGGAATGAGGAGGAAAAGAAGGCAGGAAGGACAAAATTAATGAGGAAAGAAGGAAGGACCAAGGAACAAATGGAGCAAGGAAGGAATAAAGCCATTAAAGGAGAACTATGAGGTGAGTGCTTTTCACTCAGCCTCATAGTTCTAGCTGACCTGTGACAATTAAACTGTCACAGGTCGGCTCAATAGATCGGGAAGTGAACGAACACTTACTGTCGCTCGCTCACTTCTCGATCCTGTCACTGCAGAGAGCCGTGACTGTCACTCATGGCTACAGTCCATGTACCCATTGCACTCCTGACCGCACGTCCAACAAAGTATCCTGGGTGCTCAGTAGTCGACGGATGGCCACCGTCAAAGTAATGCAGAAAAGAAATAGACACCGGCACTCCAATAGTAAATCGATTACGTCTATTTATTGACGTACATCAAAAGCAAAATAACACACTTAGTGTCACTCATGGCTCCCTCTAGATAGGCAGAGCCAGCTGTCACTCACGCAGCTGGGTGGATCCAGACAGTAATGTCAGGATCCGTCCCGGCTGCGGCTTTGGGTGACGGGAGGACGCTAGTTTGTGTCCTCCCGTTACTCTTAGGAGAAAAGCCCTGACCCCATAGTTCTCCTTTAAGGATATAGGGAGGGGATATGGAATGAGCAAGAAAATGAAGAAGGAATGCTGGATCAAGGGTTCAAGGAAAAAAGGAAGGAAAAGAATGAGAGCCATTCACACCAGCTGCTGTGCTTAACTTTATTCAGCTCGCACCACCACGTTCCCACCACAGCGCGGTGGTGTGAATGGTGTCCATCCATGACAAGGCAAATGCCCTCGTCTTGTGTTGTGTTGGAGCAGTGCTGGAAAAAATGGCCAGCGCAACCCCAACGCATTTGCTGTGAATTCACCCTAAAAGGTAGGATTGAAAGGAAGAAGTGAATGAGAAAGGAAGGAAGCAAAGAGAATAAAGAAGGAAGGAGGAGCAAAGAAGGAAGGAACAAAAAAGGAAATGAAGGAGGAAGGGTTTGAGGGAGGCAGGAAACAAAGCAAGAAGTAGGGAAAGAGGAAAAAAAAGAAGCAACAAGGAAGGAGAAAGGTTGGAAAGGAAGCAGGGAAAAGGAGGAAGGGAAAAAAAAGAGAATGAGAAAGGAAGGAATAAGCAAATGAGGGAAAGATGGAGGGAGGGAAGAATGAAGCAGGGAAAAGGGAAGGAAAAAAAGAAGGAAGGGAGGAAATTAGGGAATGAACAAAGGAACAATGTAAGGAAGAAAGGAGGAAACAGAAAGCGAAAAGAGGAAGGTAAGCAGGAAGAATTAAGGAAAGAACTAAAAAGGAAAGGAGGAAGGAGACAAAAGAAGATAGGAACAAAAATGAAAGAAAGGAGGAAACAAGGAAGGAAGAAATGAGGAGCAGAGGGAAGAATGAGGAAGGAAAAAATGGAGGGAATAAGGCAGAAAGGAGGAAAAAAAAAACGAAAGAAGTATGGGCTTGAGGAAGGAAGCAAGGAGGGAAGGAAGGATGAAAGAAAAGAAAGAGGAAGGTTCGCGGTAGGAAGGAAAGGAAGGAGGAAATGGCAAAGAAAGAAGAAAAGGGAGGAACTAAGGACAGAGAAATTAAGGCAAACAAGAAGAAAGGCGGGAGCGAAGAAGGAAAATATAAAGAAGGAATGAAGCAGAAAGGGTTTGAGGGGGGCAGAAAATAAAGCATGAAGGAGGGAAAGAAACAAAGAACAAATAAGGAACAAGAAAGGAAGGAGAGGATGAGGAAGGAAGGAAAAGAGGGAGGGGAAAAGGAAGGCAATGGGTAGGGAAGGAACAGAAGGAGAAAACTGGGAAGGAAGGAAGGTAGGAAGTAGAAAAAGGGGAAAAAAGAAGGTAAAGAGAGAAGGAAGAAATTATATTTCTTAATCTTCCAGCTACTACAAAAAAGACAAGGGGGTTCTTTGACAAGAAGACATGTCCATGACAACAGAATAAATTCAGCAACACTGGACAAAGGCGGCCAATTTACAGCAAAATTCTTCCCCAAACAGCCAATCAAATCACAGGGAATCTGATCCCTCATTATAAAGCTATATTAAAGTGTCAGAAGAACAAGAATATTGCCCATAAGAGCCAATGAACTCTCTGTTATATTTTCGAATCCGCCTTCCAGGCAGAAACAGCAGAATATCAATGATTGCTCAGAGCAACATCGTTATTGTTCAGTGTATGTTTTTTCTTTATTGAATAAATGTCCAATATGAACAGAAATCAGAAGTGGTGCAAATATTCGGTGTACCTTCAGACACTTTATACAGAAAACCCATTGATGTGCTTTATGATGGCTTATAGAAAATCAGAAATCCTGTGTACACAAGCAATGCAGACGAGCCTCACAACCCCAATATGGGAAACAAAGGGTGCGGAGTCCCTGAATGGAATCAGCGGGATGAATGGACTCAGCCTCTCTGTATTCCTTTTTCCTTTTCAGTACTTCAAATTAAGTATTGATTTGCTGTGCGGAGATCAGAAAAGAGCAGAATGAGCGATGGAGGGGGAAAGCGGCTGCAAAAATGATTTGAATGTAGGAACCCTCACAATGAGGTAATGAGACAATATGGTTTTCTGTAAATTCATGGATATTAAATAACAATGTGGACAAAAATTGTTAGTAAAGTATCACATTGCATAGCACACGTCACCTCCCCCTCCTTCTACAACTGCAACAAAACCCATAAAACAAGTAGTGACCAAGCTATGGCCTGCCCCCTCATGCCTTCTGTGCATTGCCATTGGCCCATTACTGTGTGAGTTATCTTACTGACCAATCGTGAGGCTCAGCAGGTGACCAGAGCCCCAGAGAAAGGATGTACAGCCGCTGCTGGAGCAAGTGCATGCGGACAGGAAGTGACTGAAAGAAGATTGAGAAAACCAGCAGCACTGAGATGTAAAATATTCGATGGAATATGTCAAATCAATATTTTATTTTTAAAAAACAAACAGAACAGGCAATTGTTTATAATGGGGATGCACCGATAGCGGTTTTTCAGGTTCGAGTACCAGTGCTTCCGCTGGCATGGAGCCGGCTTGCTGGGCTGTAGGTTAACTGTTGTTCCCAGTTGCTTCCACTTTGTTATAATACCAGTAACAGGTGACCGCGGAGTATTTAGTAGCCAGGAAATGTCACGCAACACCTGAATCCAATGATTTGGAGGGGCGTCCCAATACTTTTGGAAATATAGTGTGTACACACACACACACACATTAGCAATATACATTTCAGGCGCCCTATTACAATGCACAATGAGATCTAATGTAAGCATTACTAATATACTTAAATGTCATCTCCATCTGAACCTGGTATTCCGGTGTTATTTTACCACAAGCCAGTTAAGTCCCTTTAAATTACAATATACGGCTGGATTTGCGCTGCCCATACACACGGCGGAAGGAATTAAGCACTCGGCCTGTTTCTTGTGTAAGCTCCTCTAATTCTTTGTAAAATTCTCTGTCTGCATTATCAGATCTTCCCGGGGAGATAATTATTTTACCGTTTTACATTTCTTGCCCAAGTTGCGCTCATTGCTGGATTCCTCCATTTATTAAACACGAGGGGATTCGGCTCCTGAAAGGTCATCCGGCACAATACGGAATTCATTCACACGGTGCTGCGCGTCATTCTCTCCATACACTGGAGAAGCTGTTACTCTTTCGTGTGCTGTTTGGGCTACAAAGCTAACACTCGTCCCCGGGGAGGGGCCATGTTATTACCTGACAGTGAGTGCCTTCTAGAAGGAGAGAGGATCTGAGTGACAGCTGCGGGTGCAGGAACAATCAGGTCACATTGCAATCACATGGAGGCCTTGGTTGGCCTTGTGGGAAATCCGGCCCTGGTCACGACCCACCAGATGAGAACCAAGGCTATAGACTACACACTTTTTAAGGTAAATTGTAAGGGGCGGTGTTATACGGCGTACAGAAAAAAAATAATTTAAGATAATCTGAACTTATATTTATTTCTCAAAAAGTGGAGGAATGTTGTTGTTGTTTTTTTGTTTCATTGAAAAATATGTAAAATTCCCAGATGTATAAATAATAATAATAAGCCGGTGCGCAGCGCGTCAGTTATTCTGTTACGAGCTGTACGGCGGCTGAGCGATGACGGCGTATTGACAGGAACGCGATGATAGATGTCACAACATTGTAACAATGAACATCAAACAGAAGCCGCCGCTGTAGGAAAAAGTTACTTAAAGGTAATTAAACCCGCTAACGAGCGTCAGTGACGGAGGCGACGAGGCAGAGGGAGCTCACTTCGTAATCAGCG